CTCATCTTGTTTTTTCATTCAGGCTCATTTTTAGCCCGTGGCCTTTCCCACTGGCCACCACTAATTCAGCCACCACCTCCTCTTCAGAGGGCAGGCTGAGCAGCCTCTTGATTGCCTGGTTTAAAGCATCATTAGGACATCAGCAGAGTTGGCTGAGGTGTGTTGGAGGTACTTAAACAGGGTGGGATGGTGTCTGGTACCTGATAGAATCAGAGGTAGAACAAAAACCTGGGGTCCTTGTTTCTCACATGTCTGCCTCAATTAGCAGAGTGCATTTCCTTCTGCTTTCTCAAGCAGCTATGAGCCTTCTCTCTTGTGCTGCCTGACCAGCAGATCAATGTCAATGCCACAACTTTAGCACTTGCATCCACTTCATAAGCACTGGACAGCTGCTGTAATGCTTGCAACACTCATGATGTCACTGCTGGGTTTAAGCCAGTGGTCTATTTTATGATTAGAGGTTTTTCTTCACTGGAACAACTTCAAGATTTTTTCATCTCTAGCTCCTGTTTATCCCTTGCACCACTGAAGTGCAGGACATGGAAAGAAAAGGAGTGAGGGGAAGAAATAAACTGGTCTGTGGCAGAGACTGGCACCAGTGCCTGTCTTAAAAGTTCTCAGCAAAGCTCATCTCACAAAAACTCAGAAGCTTGCTGAGAACTTTTTTTATATATGGGAAGACATGAAATGAGCATTTCTAAGTGAGAGGGCTGGGGGTTTCCTGCTCTTCCACAGCAAATACAGACAGATCACACTTTCCCCCCCACTGGCCTTTTCTGTGGAGCCATGTGCCTCCTGAGGGACAGAACAGAGCAGCTCCTAACACAATAAACATTACTCTGTCTGCATTAGTTTTTACATTTCTTTGTTTTATTTCTTCTTTTGTTTGAAATTACCTGTACCACAGGAATACAATTTATTTAACAGGTTGTTATTTTTTTAGGAGCAGATAATAGTTAAGTAGATACTGTTTATTTCACTGACTGTCTATGACTACCTGCATTCATTCTCACAGCCTCTGTCTCTCTCTGGCTTCTCCATGTAACCCAGCCACAAGAACAACAGAGCAGCCTTTGGCCATATGATTGATTATAGCTCCGATTGGTAATAAAAGCTCAACATGTTACATTCTAGGGTCTTTCTCAATTACTTGCCCCTCTAATAGCTGCTTACATGTTTCTGGTGAAGCATGTTTTATTTTATATATTTATAATAGTTTAAAAAAAAAAGATGACATAGCTTACAAAGAGAAAAATAATGCCCCCTTAGCATGAGCAATACTGCAAGGTTCTGATTGTTGTGGGGATGTTTCTTGTAGCTTCACAGTTTTGCTGCGAGGTGTAATGCCCAAGTTTCCCTAGAAACCTAAATTCAGAGTGGTAATTTACCTTTTAATTGATCCCCATGACAGTTGTTTTGCATTACAGGTCAGACACTGCTGTTCCCAGAGAAGAATGTGCCCAAAACAGAAGAGCTGGTCACTTGGGAAGAACTGCCTTTTGTAGTAGCTGGCAGGTACATGTTTTCTGTTATCCACATGCAAATCAGGGGCTGGAGCTGCCTTTACCATAGTTGCTGGTGTGGGTTTATTCACTGTCACTGCTATACTTACCTCTACTGCTTCTCTTTTCTTTAAGTCACAGAGCCCATCTGTGTCCCAAGGCTCAAGCTCCATCATTTTTTGCCCCATGAAGGACAGCTGTATGATACTGACTCTGCGAATCCTATATTATAAATGGGCAGCATAAAGACTACTGACCAAAAACCCATCTCCTAGTTCATGTCTCACCTTCCACATCCCCAGACCTTTTTGTAAGAGACTGTGAGCATTCAAAGACCTAAGCAGTTGCTGAAGCTTCATTTCCTACTTCAAAGTGCGTTGGGGGGACTACACTGTTACCCTCCTCTGCAATCCCAGCCCATTGTGTAGCTGGAAATGCTCCTCAGCTGTGTCAGTGTGATAGTACTAGTGATGCACAGCAGATCAGAGTAACTGGAAAGAGATTATTGTGATTCCTGCACTTGTTTGAAGGGCTCAAGAGACCTGATCTCCTTCCCAATTTAGGATGGTACAAGCCTTTTAAGGGTTAAATCTAGACAGGTGTTTGTGTCCCATTTCCTGGGAAAGAGTTTGCATTCCTTGGTTAGAGAGTTTAATATATCCTAAGTACTGTCTGCTTCACTTCCCATCCTATTTCAGAAGAAATGCAAACATTTCCCTGCATATTATCTTCAAGCAATGGAGAGTATTTGGATGGGCTCCAACATTATGCAGCTTTAATGGAGAAAGAAGTTCCTGGAAAAAATGTATTTGGTATCTTCATATTGCTATGCCAAGGCAGGAGTTGCCTCCATCCCATAGCCCTAATCTAAATAGCCAGCAGTCTCTGGGAGCTAGAAGCTAACTCGGCAGCTCTCCATAATCATGTTTTGTAGATAGTTTCCTGTTATGGAGAGCAGGCCTGAGTGCAAATACAACAAAGCTAGAAGAGCCTTTTGGGGTTGTTTTTGGGTAGCTTTGGGGTTTTTTTGAGGGGGGAGTTTGGGTGGGTGTGTTGGCATGTGAGTAGTGACCTTTCTGGCAGGGCCCAACAGAGTAAGAATTGCTTCTTAGGATCTTTTCAGCCCATTTTGGGCCAGCTACCTTTGCACAGCAGGCTGGGACACAATGTGCTCAGCTGGGTGGCACTTGGCAGCATTGCAGCAGTGCTCAAGTCAAACTTACAGGTGATAATGCAACCCAGCACATCTGTGAAAGCAATTCTACCACAGCCAGAAAGAGCTGCCAGAGGGCAGCACATGGCAAGCTGGCTCTGTAATGGTGGCATGCATTTCACTTTGGTCCCTCAGTCACAGATGGGTACAGGGATCATGAGTGCAACCAAAAGCCTCTCATTTTCTCCCCAGCTGCCTTTGGGAGGGAGTGGGAAAGAGAAGCACAGGTATCCTCTTGAAGCACAAGGATACTGTGTAATTGCTACTGCTGTGAGCAAAGAAGGAGTCCCAATTCCAATGTGCCTTCTGCCCCTAAGGTCTCTGGTGGTTTACTAATATGCCTGAAGTAAGACAATTCCTTTATCAAGTGAGTACAAAATGAGTCACTGTGTAACATAAGAAGAAGTCAAAGGAGATGAAAAGGAACTAACTTAAGTTCAAGGTGTGGGCTGGCTATGAGAGCTGAGAGGTCACATGCCAGCCCCTCTGTGTCTGAGCCTGCCAGGGCAGGGGTCTGCAGTATTGACAGCCCTGCTGGGACACATTCTGCTCCAGCAGAAAACAAGCACCCAGTGTTTCTGATCACACACCTCAACCCTGGTTTGGAAGACTTCCTCCTGGAGGGCAATTTACTCCTCTTACACACCACCTTTCTCCTGGGGAAGCTAGGAAGGGGTGGAAGCTTGAGGAGAACAGACACAGTAGAGTTAGTGGTGTCTCAAACGTAGATCAGAGGTTTTTTCTCACCACAAGTGCCATGCTGTTGACCACAAAAAAAGAGAATACACTCAGGTTTTGTCAGCTCAGGATGGCTTAAAACTAAGTGACCTAGAAAATAAAGTTTCAGAGAACACCAACAGTCAGTTTTGTCAGTCACCTACATTCCCCTCTGGCTACTGGGAATGCAGCAGTTATGGCTTAGGCAGCAGATCTAAACCAGGTCTTGGAGACAGCAGGAACCTGGTTATATAAGAGTAAATAAACACTCCCCCTGTTCTTCTCCCACCACCCCAAGGTCAGGTATTTGCTTTCTGATCAGCAAGAGAACCTCCTACCATCCCCAGGTATAATCTATGCTAGCTCTTTTCCTGCTGTTGAGGATAATGGGATGAGGCAGGGGAAGACAGTAGTCGGAGTATCAGGGGTTTCATGCCATCCTCTAATTTATTTCCCTAGCCTGCCACAATAAAGCAATCTCTCAGGCTCTAGAGCTGCCTCCTCTGAAAAGCAGTGCCCTTGATTCCTAACTAGAATTTGGCAATAAGCCTAGTCTCTGTGGAGCCAAAGAGCTCTAATGAAGTCTAGGAAAGATCTGGTTTGGGGCGTATTTTTACTTGGGCAGTAACCATGCAGACAAAGCCTTGTGTTCTCTGCCACAAGGAACAGGTGGGGAATGGCACTCAGCTGAGCTGAAGAGGCAGGTGTGATACACTATGGGGTGAAAAGTGTGGAAGAATTGTAGTTAGCACCACATAGGAGAGGATGCAGAGATTATCAAGTCAACCCAGCACTGAAGTATAACATCAGGCTCTTCTCTCTTGCCATTTGGGAAAGACTTGCATTTTCTCAGGGACATACATCCTACCTCTTCAGGGGCCTGCGGGGATTGTACACAGGAGGGACTAGCCAGGCGTAATGACACACTGTACAAGGTCGCAGAATATCTTACGCAGTTAGGAGCAGCTTTCCCAGTAAGAAGTGGGGGCTGTATGTACAAGTGTTAGAGGAGTCTGGGAGGCAGCCTTTTTGTTCAGGAGAGGTCCAGCAGCATTGTTCTCCAAAGGAGCATCTACTCTATGGTAAGAGGAAGAAAGGTGGCAAAAAGAAGGACTGTGGCTGCTTCCCTTTCTAACTGACCCCTCATAACACCAGCAGATAACGTTTATATTGACTCTATTCTTCCTCTCTTCCTGCTTCTGTCCCCACTCCCCTCCAGAACTGGCAGAGAGTGCTGGGGAGCAGGCAGCCTGGACAGCGCTGAGAGCATCACTGATCAGAGGGGCTGAGCCCCCACGATGCCTCAACAAGTGCAAGAGCATAATCTGGTATTTCCCACAGAGAAAACAACGAAAAAAAGAGAAACAGGTGACTGATTAAAAGTTTCCCCCCCTCCTGTACACAAGATTCTGCAGTCACGCCGACAGATAGACATTAAATGATTCATCCATAATAAATGATTGGAGATAAAAGCCGGCGGTGGCTGCTGCTGCTGTTTGGATTGCTCCGTTGTCTGCGTCTTTGTTTCTAGTTTGTTCCCCGGCCACTGTCGGCTGGTGCTGGGGCTGTCAGACCTTCGCCTCTAGCATTTCTAGGAAGAGTTTATGCATGGGAACCTTGCCCTGCAGTTTGATGCTGTAGAAGTGCTGCACAGCTTTAGCAGCCGTCTGCCGCAGGAGGGGCAAGGTCAGGAGCAGCTTGCCTGCTCGCCGGGGCTCCTCGTTGCGCTGACTCAGCTCGTAGTCCTGCAGGGCTTCGTGGAGAAGGTCCTGGAGTTTCTGCACTGCATCCATGTCCTCTATGTGCATGGAGTCTGGGGTGAGGGAGAAAAGACAGCAAACAGACAAGTCAGGTGTGAGAAAGGAAATCCTTTATGGTTCTGAAGCTAATGATGTTTTCTTTCCTTCTTACCTGTTCTTGTGGGGATTTTTAAAGTTGTTTCTGCCCAGGCAGGGAGTGAGGGGTGTTGTTTGGTTTTTTCTTAAGCAGAAAAAACCAGCTAGCTGGCAGGTGTGGTGCTGCTGCATGAAGCTTGGCAGCAGCCCAGTGTGTTGGCCCTAGCAGTACAGGGACAGTAGGGTTGCCAGGGGTAGGTGGGTGACACACGTGCCCTGTGTGCTGCCCATTTTGCCAGCCACCCCAACGCAATGCAGGGGTCAGGCAGGGGCCTTGTGATTTGCACTTGCACTTGCCCTCCATGCTCCTTTTGGGGAGAGTCACCCTGCAAGGGGCAGCAGCTGCTGTGCTGCCGCTTGGGAGCAATCTCATTAAGAATAATTAACGCTGCTACAGCGCTTCATCTGTCTAAACTGCCTAATTGCTGTGCAGCTGCTAAGGGTATCAGCAAGACAGGTCACAACCAGTGTGCCCAGGGGTGTTGCCAGACCCACCTTTGTGCATATGCCCCTGCTTTCAGAGACTGCTAGCAGCTGCTCAGGGAGCTTCCTGCTGAAATAAAGGAATCCCATGCCTCCTGCAAGGCCTCTTCCCTTAGGCTGCCAGTCAGATTTCTATGAGCTGTTGGAGGGGCTACAGGGTTTGCAAGGCTCCTTGGTGTGTCTGTGAAGTGAAGGTAGCTAGCTGGTAAGGAGTTAGTCCAGGGCTGAGATAGAGAACCAGGCTGAACACAGACTGCTAAACTTGCGGGTAATTCATGGTGTGAGAGGGAAGCACCGAAGAGCAGAGAGGCACAGCATCACCAAAGGTTTTCTCCCTTTTCATCTTGCTGATACGTGCTTCTTTCTTACAAGCGTGACAGAGCTGGAGACACTGATGCCTCATCTTCATTGTTCAGAGACTTTTAATCAATACTGAACCTATTGATAAAGGTTCCTGCCACAAGGCAACAAATCCAGAAGCAATGGCAAAGAGACAGTATGGCAAGCACACATTCACACGTGTAATTGCACCGCCTACCATCACAGCCCGGGCTTTGCTTTGTGGCAAAGGAGTCTCAGTGTAGTCTCAGCCTACACACAAACACAAATGTGAGGACATGAGTTCCCCAGAGTGACAGCAGTGAAGAGGAGGAAAGCTGACTGAAGTGCCAAAATCTCTCTAGAAACATGTGTCATCTTTATGGAGAGCACAACACAAATTAGAGACTGTGAATTTTGTATAATACATTTATGGTAAAAATGCTATTTATGATGCATGATTTATAAAGTATTACAACAGTTGGGAAAATATTATGTCTAGCAAGAAAGCTGTTTAAGAAGTTGTTCAGAAGGAACGCACTAAGTAAGAATATTAAAGGGAAGTATTCCCAAGAAGCCTACTAAAGAACAACTCTTGATACATTTACAGTTTTTATCCAAGAGACCAGGCAAAGAAGCTCAGAAGAGAGCTGCTAAGTCATCACAGTGACCTGAGCTAGACACAGAGGTTGATTCTGAAAAGCAGGGAGGAAGAAGCATGTTGCCAAGTCAGTCTGGCAACTTCTCCCAGCCAGGTAGCACCTCTGAAAAATTTCCATACACAATCCAAGAGAAGTGAGTGTGATCTGTTTCCTGCCAAGTCACAGAGGTCATTTTGAAGACTGGAAGTATCAAAAGCTGGAATGTCTTCTGTCCTTTCTGTTTAATATCCTTCTGGCTAGGGGCACAAAGGAGAGAAGTAATCACAGCCTGTCAGAGTTTGCAGTCCCCAGCAGGTGCTAGAATTACCATGCAATGAGCCATGTTTCAGGGTAAAGTGGGTGCTCTGCTTTTGGATACTGATGCTGCTGTACATTTGACAGAATCCCAAAACTGCCTTTCTGCCATCTGGCTTCTGTAAGGTGACAAGACTTAACAGCAGTAAATAAGTGTATACAATGAGAGAAACTGGGGAAATAAAGCTCAAAGCCTGCCCCACCACCACGACACTGCTGAAAAAAGCTCAAAATTGGCAGCTGACTGCAAAAAATAAAACAACATTGCAGGATTAATTTCCTTGCAATCCATCAGTGAACTGGTGTCAATGGCATTGATAAACTGTTAATTACGAAATCAATAGCTATGAATTTTTACAGCTATCAGAGCACTGAGGTGGGGGCAGGTGCCTGACCATGTCCCTGAGGGTCAGCTGGCCTAGAAGCTGGGCTTCATACCAGGAGCCCTTCTCCAGCACTGCTGGCATGGGATGCAGGGCAGGTGTGAGAATGGACAAGGCCCACTGCTTCCTCACCTCTGTTCTTGCAGCTTCTGACAGGAACAGGACCCATTAGTACAGAATTTGCTATGCGTCCCTTTGCCAGGTCCAAATATTGCTCACTCCATTTTAGCATTAAAATGCATTGCAGAAAAAAAAATGGGGAAATAAATTTTGGCCACTCTGGGATGTCCTGAAATGAATGTGTGCTGCATGCTAACCTAGAGGCCTCCTCAGTACATAGGTTGATCTTTTTTTTTTTCCCCCCCAAGGAAAGAGGACCTAGGAATGCTTAAAAATGGACTGCTGACTCTGAAGGGTAACAAATTAGGTCTACATCACCTCTACTCTGTCAAAAAATGGGTGATCATATTGTCTGGGACTTAAGAATTCATCCCTCAGCTCTCTAGAATGCACTTACCAAACAGAGATCCCTTGAACTATCTTTGCCAATCCCAGCAGGTGTGTTGTTGGTGTGTCACACCAAGGACTCAGAGATCAGCCTACTGTCAGCTTCTTCTCTAGTAAAGACTGAGTGAGCTCCCACTTCTATTTTCATTTGTTTTAATTCCTAGAACCAAAGGGTCAAGTGTACACAGGGCTGCCTAAGTCCCTAGAACTTGGATTGCATGAGCAATTATACCCAGAATTTATCTGTGTGGGGAGGAAGGCAGAAAGCAATTTTAGGCAGCACAGGTGCTAATCTTAAAGACGAAGCTGGTGTTCATCTTAAAGCCCCATCTCTGATCCAAGGGAGCTGAAGCCTGGCCCAAACTGCTTTCCTCCCGTTTTAGGAATTGGCTGTTTGCATGCAAGCACACACATGCAGGCTCTGTAAGTTTATCCCTGTCAAAAATACACTAAGAAAAATAACTGGCATTAAAAGAATGTGAAGGTTCAATGTTAAGTTACAACAGAAAAATACACTTGCCCTATTCCAGCTTCCTTACTTGTGTGTCACAAGAAGCTTTAATTATATGAAAAACAAAATCCCATGCTTCACTTTCCCATATTTCAATACAAATAACAAAACAGGACTTTTGTGGATTATGCTTCTACACAGCTACACTTCTAGCTGCACCAGTGAAGTCAGAGTCATTTTTCCATCCAGCTGAGAACATGCTTTGGCCTGTGCCTCCTGACCCTTACCTTGGTTTCTTTACTCTACAGCACTGGAAATGGAACCCCAAAGCATCTGATGAGTGTTGGTTGTTCTGCTCTGTCTTTGCTCAGTGTTACTCCACTCCTGTGGAGACTGTCTCATAAGGTTCACTCTGGGCTTAGTCCTGAAAGCACAGTGAGCAGCAGCAGCACAGACTGCTTCTGTTGCATTGTGAAGAACTTGACAGCAGTGTCCAGAGCACAGGCCAGGTAAATGTCCCAGTGTGGCACTTCTCCTGTCACAACTGCTACCTTAGCACTTGAGCCTCTCTGAGGAGCCCTTCTCCCTGTTTAGTCCTGTGACCCTCCTGGTAGACAGGTTCTTTAACAAGTTGATTATATCACCCATAGCCACCATTGCACAGAGGAGAGAGGCTGGCCTTGGCCATCTGCCCATCCTGGTTCACTGGCAAAGTGAAGGCAGCAATTAAAACTAAAAAAGCACTATATGAAAAATTGAAAAAGGGAACAAAGTTATGAAGTGCAGAAAAACCATAAGGGAAATGAAGGACCTAAGAGGAAAAGCAATGTCTAGAAGGGCTAAGGAAAAGCAATGTCTAGAAGGGCTAAGGACAGTAAAGAAGTTTTATAAATATTTAAGGAATAGAAGAAAAATGATCAATTGTAGGGAGACTCTTTTCAACTGGAGATTATTAACCTATTAATAGCAGTGCAGAGTAGATAGAAGTCCTCTGTGAATATTTCTGTCTTATTTGGAAAAGAGAAGCATTATATACCTGTGTTATACAAAGGTGATGAAGCCTTCATAATCTGTTGTTTATGCAAGAAGATATTAGAACTATTAGGATAAACTTCACAGAAATCAGCAGAGCTGGATAACTTGGCTTTAAGAGTTCTAAAATTGCTGGCTGGGGGTCATTCAGGGCAGATGATTAGTAAGTCTTGGTATTTTTACAAAATTCAAGATGTCTGGAAGTCCTCTAATGATGCACACATTTTCCTAGGTCTTACCTGATAATTTCTATGCTAGCTTGATGTGAACCAGGGCAAAAGAAAGGAAAAAATAAAGGTGACATTCAATTAAGACTAATAAGATGGCATTTATAAGACACATAAATGTGGCACTTAAGGACATAGTTTTGTGTTGGACTTGGCAGTGCTGGGTTAACAGTTGGAAGTGGTGGTCTTAAAGGTTTTTTCCATCATAAATGATTCTGTGATTTTACTGCCAGTCAACATGATACTTGAGAAGAGAGGTCTTGTCAAACAAACTTGATTTCATTCTCTGATGAGATTACAAGTTTAGTTGATAAAGTTAACTGCACAGATATAATAGACTTAGGTTTTTATAAAGCACTTGGCTTAGGACCACAGGACATTCTCATTAAAAAATTAGCACTATGCAATATCAATAAAGAACACTTTCAATTGATTAGTAACTGGATAGATGACAGATCTCACAGTAGCTATCAGTGATGCATCATCCCTGAAGAAGGAGTTTTCTCATGGAAATCCCCAGGGACCAGTAGAAAAATCAGCTGCTGCTCAACATTTTTATCAATGAGCTGTAAGGAAATTTTTTTATTTTATATTGCTATTGCTAAGGAGTGGATGGATGGCAAACAGGGACAGAATGGTGTAAAATGGTGAGGCAGCCTCAGAGAATCCTGGACCACATCCTTACTCTGGAAATAATATATCCATAGCCAAGGAACATGACTATGGAACAGGAAGTTTATCATGTCAAGCTGTCAGATATAAAAAGACCCAGAGTCATAGGATCCAACTCAACAAAGATCATTCTTTCAAGGCTGAGCTCAAGCAAACAAACATTAGACATGATGCCTTTTGGTTTTTTTTTAAACTGAGAGAATGCGTAATTATTAGAGTCAGCTGCCAAGCAAGATGAAGATTTCCCCTCTTTTAATCCTTCCAGTTTCACACTGGGTGTTTTTCTGTAAAGTGGCTTTAACCAAGCACAGATACTGGTTTCAGGTCTGGGCTGCAATGGTGAATTCTGTGATATGCATGATGCAAATTTGGCAAAGGGATCTGATGTGAAACAATGAGACTCAGGGGATGTAGAGGGAGCCCTTGTTACGCAGCAGCTTTAGCAGTTTCCCGTTCAGATGGGACTCCTGAGCAAATCTGTGTCTGGCTGCCTTTGATACAATGCAGCCTTCTGGACTGAGAGCTGCAATCTACATCCACACTGTCTCCCAGTTAAAGGGGGATTCAGTGTCTCTGGTACCTCAACATCTCCAGGACAGGGTCAGGCAGCCCCAGCCCCACAGCTTTTTGAAATTGGGATGAGAGTTTCCCCGTTTGCTGTATCTCACCAACACTATGGAGGTAGATGCAAGTGTGACTCCCTTTTCTGAGCCCATGGCACTGGAGTTAGCTTGCTAGTGGAAAAGCCTCCACAGACCCTTTTACTGCCTGAAACCAGCAACCAGTCCATCCCTGTCTGTTCCACTCCCTACTACAGGGTCAGAGCACAGCTGGGGCTCTAGCAGCAGTAAGCCACATTTCTCCCTGCTTTCCAGCTTAGAGTGGAGCTTTAGGAATATTGCATGACACAGACAGAAATTCTTGGGCAGTAGGCTCTGGTTTCCTCCCAGGTAAAATAACAGCATGAGCCTGGACTGGCTGGGTGCAAGACTGGCTGGGCCAGGGCTGTACCTGAGTTGGCGAGGGCCAGAGCTTTGAGTGTGACAAACTCCTCCTTTTCCACCTTGAGCTTCTTATAGCGGCGCACCAGCTGTAGGATGGCCAGGTAGAGCTCCAGCAGCCCTGTCAGACGAGAGTGCTCTTCATCCATTATGTAGTCCTCAGCATAGACCAGCTTGTCCTCGTATGGCAGGGAGCGGTACACAATGCCCAGGATGAGAATTTCCATCCAGGCACTCTGCAGAAGGCTCATCTGGTCTCCAAGGGAGAGGTTGGAGAACCCTAACAGGGCAAAAGACAAGCAGGGTCAGATGGGTGTGCAGCAAAGCCTCTAGGAGACTAGGGTCCTCAGTTTCCCTGAGACCCAAACCATGCACTCTTCCCTACTGACCTGCTGCTTTAAAAATACCCCAAACAACTCACTAAAGTGACTCTGTAGCAATCGGCACACATGGACCTTACCCTTCTCTTGCTCCTATGCCCACCCACAGCCTCAAACAGGAATTCTGATGCTCTGATTGCATTTATGGGAGTCCAAGGTTGGGTGACAACCTCTTTTCAATGACCACTGCTTCTTTCGTAGCAGCAACTCTTTTGTGCCACATTGCCTTTCCTCTCTCCCTCAGTAGGTCTGTATTGCAGCCCATTTAGTCTGTCCCAGCTGAAAAATGAGCAGAGAAGAGCTCCAGATGACAGAAAAGAGGGCTTCTGACGGGATAGGAGGGAATGACACAGGCCTGAATTAGAAGTATTGTACAGTCTCATATTTTGGCAAAGATGAGAAAAAGTCCTGCCACACCAAAGCATCAAAATGTGTTCAAAAATTAATATCTTTGTGAACAGAATTCTCCTCTATTCGTCATCCCACTCTGATTTCCATACCAGCAGCTCTGCCTACAACCCTACCCAGAGATAAAAATACCTTTGTGGGGACACTGAAGTACCTAAATCATAGCCAAACCTGGTAGCAATGGAACAAGCCCCTGTGAACCAAATATTCTTGCCAAATAGAGCCTGACAGCCTGAGCCTGACAGCCCCAGAATCCACTTGAAAGAGTGGAGAGGACAAAAAACAGAGGCAATGTCCACCTCAAGGTGGGGAAAAAAAGTGCATGGGAAGGAAATCTGTCTGTTATGCGTTCCATACCTGGTACCCTTGAAGGCCAGACCATGAGACATCCTGGAGATGGGCACTCCAACAGTCATTACAAACAGGAATGCCAAGTGCAGTGTGCTGGTCCTCTCTAGGCAGCTTTTGCCCACCATGGACAGACAGAAATTGCACTTTTTTTGGCAGCCCCTTGCTTCCAATGGTTCCTAGGGCTGTGAAAGAATGAGACACCCAGGCATGCCTCAGCTGGAAGGGTAAAGCCTCTCCAGGCAGTTTTTCCCCCAGATGCATATGAAGCATTGGGGATCACCAAAAGACTTGTAAACTCATGAGCCTCCATGCAGGAGCCTCCCAGCTCCACTGGCTGCATGCAAGGCTCAGCTGGACTTCTTCATCCCACACCCCACCCTGCTCACAGCTCTTGGCCCCACATCGGGGCTTATGTAGACAACCACCATGATGATCATTTGATTTCTCTTGTTATCAAGTTGGCAATTAACAAAAGAGCTGATGATTGCTATATTGACTGACTGTGGGATCTCTTTTTCTATCTGCACTATCTCAGCTGGGGAAGGGAAGGCAAAAGGGTGGGTTAGTGGTATTTTATTTATCTCTACGCCATGTTTTGTGTTTGTGTTGCCAGGGGAAGCAAAGGGTGATAATGGCCTGGCAGCCCTTGGACATCCAATTTCCCTTATCAGGCCACTGAATAGAAAAGAGGCCCCAGGCCACATTAATTAACAGATACCAATCAGCTGTCACGTGCTGTGTGTGCAAGGTCTGAGGGGAGCAGTGGGTGGGAGGGAAGAATCAATAAACCATTGGGGAGGAGTGCCAGAGGGAACAGCTAAAGAGGAGTCCAGGCTACTGGGGAGAAGAGCTGCAAACCCAGCTCCATGACTGTGAGAGTGATTCCTGTACAGCACAGCCTGTGCTCCACATAGCTCTGATGAAGCCCACCTCTTGCTTGGGCTGGGAGGTGGGTGCCTTGTCCTTTACCTCACCCTTCTGCCCCTCATGCCCTGCACTCAGAACTGTGCTGCTCTGGAATGCAGCCCTCCTGACTCAGTCCAAGCACAGGCTGCTGCAGCTCAGGTGCTGGGGATCCTGTCTCCACAGCTCTGTCTGATGCACAGGGGACTGATGAGATTAGCCCCGAGATTAGAGGAAAGTTGCACAGCCACTGTTCCACTCTTTAGAACCTGAGATCTCTCCTTTGGTCATCCCTCTCCTAGCTCTGACCATGGAGATAAGTCCAGCATTTAGGCTGCTGCCTTAAGTCCATTTTCTGGAACAGTCACAAGGCCTTTCTGCATCTTCATCCCCACCTGGATTACAAAGGACACTAGGCCATTGCCTCACTGCAGTCTGCCAACAACATTTCTTTAAGACTGAGAAACAGTCACATGGCAGAGTGAGAGGATCCAGGACAGGCATGGCTTGTACTTTTCTGCTACAGAATAAAGTAGAAAAATTGATTTAACTCTAGCAGTAGCCTGTACGCACAGCATCTCTACTAATTGCCCTTTCCCAGAGGCTGTTGTGGCAGGTAAGAACAGGAGATACCATATTTTACCCTTTGCCAAGAAGAACAGAAGAGCCAGCTGCAATTGCCCCACCCACCTGGGAAAGCCCCTGGCCAGAAGCATTCCCAGGTAGCCAACAACTCCAGCTCCAGCAGGCGAGTGGGAAGAGGGAGCGCTGTGGTGTCAAGACTGGACTTGAAATGTCTGACAGAACTGGGACCCTTTTCCTCCAGTGTTCACACATGTGGAGTGCAAGGGCTAAAGAACTGGCCCTGAATCACTGAAGTAAAGGGGAAATCATATAACTCTCTTCATGCTGTAGGAGTTGAGATCAGGGAAAGTAAATGTTAATTTCACCTGGCCAAAATCACAGGCTTGCTACTTATTATAGAATTATACCACTGGGAAACCTCTAGTTGTGAAATTATCTGTCATCTTACAGCTCCCAGGAATTGCTAAAACACAACTGCTTTGCATTCTTGAGCTGTTGATGGCTCAGCATCCACAAAATGCCCTTCGTGATCCGTTTCATGCTGCTTTTCTCAGGTCTGACCCTGAAAGGTGCCTAATCCACCACTGCCCCAAAAGAGAGCCCCTGGCTCTAGCACAGAGCTGCATGCATGTTTCCCTCCTTCCCAGGTGCCCCTTAAGAAAAGCTGCTTTATTTGCAACAGCTGATGTGACATTCAGGTTGGGGATTCTTTTTAATTTCAATTTTTTTTATTATTATTTCAGTGGTTTGGCAGTGGGAGCTCCCAGAATTAAAAAAAAAAAAAAAATCACATAATTTGTGGCAAGTGGAGTTCATAATCTGTTAATTTATTATCATTTCTGTCATCCTGGAGGGCCATTAGCAGAGGTAATAAAAGGAGATGTAATTATAGGAGCTGAGGCCACTCCAGACACAGCTGCTGTCACTCCACTAGCCATATTTCATTCTGTGCTAGTACTAATGTCTTCCTGGTGAGAACAGCACAACAGCTACCCTGGGAGAGCCTTCATCGTCACCCCTCAAGAGAAGTCCTGTCACCCTGCATCAAAGCAAGAAGAAAAGGAGGATGTTGTTCCAAGACAACTTCCATGGGGAGAGAGTGAGTAGTGGGGAGGGGGCCTCATACAGAAGGGAACAACCTCCCATTGGCTAAGTGTGGCTTTTGAGCTCATAGCTAATAAGGCTATTGAGCTAATAACATTTAAACACGATTAAACATGTTCTATTGTTATCATAGGAAAGTGTGTTTAAGTTTTACTGCTTTTATTTGCTAATACTGTGGGATAGAAGTTTGTGTTGACACCTGGGATCCTTCAGGGCTGGTATGACTTTAATGTCACATCTTTCTTTACTAATTCCAATGTGAATACAAGGCAGGAAAGTGTGACTTTTTCTCCTTTCTCCATCCTTCTCTGACGAATAGTTTATGCACAAAGGAAGCAATGTCATGTTTTACTCAAAATTTTTGGAAGGCAGAAATACAGGGCATAGATAATTTAGACACCTGGCAGACTCCTGGCCCTGCCCTGCTCTGCCCCCTTGCTGCATAACTCAGTGTGCTTCATACTTGTTGCAGAACGACAGAGTTTTTGTTCCATTATTATGAACTGTCTTTTATTATCTTTTTTTCTCAGTACTGTTCTCTTACGTAACAATCCTTGAGCTCTCGCCTGTGCACAGTCCTGTTATAAAATACTCCTGCTGGTCTGAACTGTGCCAGGCTGATTACTGTGGCTGTTACTGTGTTGTAGGGCCTTTGATAGGAGAGGAAAATACACAGAGAAATTTGAGATGATGGCTGGTATGTCCTGATTTCAGAAAGGAGAGGAAGAGCCCCTTTCACAGTGCAGGAGCAATCTCTACTATACTCCAGTTCTGGGACAGTATTGCCAGGATGGAAAACTCTGTAGGAATTTAGCTCTTCCCACAGCCACAAGGTAGGGAACTACAGTAGGGCACATTGTGTGAACAGATATAGCCAAGGTTAGAGGGATGTACAACAGCACCTCACTGGACAGCCACAGCACCTAATTGCATTGCACTAAAACCATTCCTATAACACGCCAGGTATTGGGTTAGTAGAGCAATCCAGGCTGAGTTCTCTAATCACCACTGTAACCCCACTTGTGATGAATCAGCCCCAGATGGATTCCAGCACTAGTATGGTTATAATCCCTTCAGATATGGCAGATCTCATGTAAGAAGGGCATCACCAAGATTAACCTCTTCTCAGAAATACTGTCCTGAAAATGTTTCTTCAGACCTCAGAGTCCCATCTCATAACAATCCATATTCCATATAGCCCATAAAACCATTAACTTTTGGGTCCCAGGAGAAACACATTAGAGAAAAACAGAAGCAGCTGCCAAAAAGCCAAATGAGAAGCAACAGAAAGAAACAAAATACATGGGAAAACTAAACTGTCTGATCACATATGTTAAGATGCTTCATCAAAAAAAAAAAAGAGAAGAAAGCCAAGAAGTGAAACAAAACAACACAGATCCATGCAGTGGAAGACATAGTCAGCATGCAGCAAATCCTGTGATCCTGTATCAGAGCCTCATATATTCTCCTGACAAAAGGAAGGGGAACAGAAGGCAGGAGATAACTGAAGTGAGCTGTTTATAAACAGCTTTAGTGAGCTGTTCATAGTGAATTTCTGAAGCAATCTTTGGAAAGCAGCCTTGTAAATCCCAAGGATATCTTCTAAGTTCCCTGGCTAGCCTTCTCCACACGCAAATCCAACCTGTTTCTGGTGAGGCTGGAGAGAGACTAGAGAGGGAGGAGCATTTTCCCTTCCCTATCCAAATCTGGGAGGAGCCCACAGCTCAACACTGAGGACCATATCTGCTCCTTCAGCCTTGGTCCACCCTACCTGCAGGTGTGGGACACTTGCTAGGTCACTCAGTCACACAGGCACACACTGCATATAGTCAGTGAGCCTTCCAAAGCCAGTCACACTGCCAATAAGTTGTCCTCATTATTTGTCAACAAAGAAGCTTTGAGATTCACTGGCAATAGCACATCGTCCATCGCAATGGGATTTGTTCTGTCATAAATCCATTGGGACAAGATTTCCTGAGTCTGGACAAGAATGCCCACTGCTGAGAAGGTGTGTATCTGCCTTGTTATTAGCAGTAAAGTCCAGTCACTGCCATAGTATTTATTCAGCTATGAACACAGCAGAGCAAGGTCATGCTGATGTGCAAAACTACTCAAGTCCACCATACCATCCGTAAGGCTGTCTCCCATGTGCTTCCACTGGGCCACTCAATGCGACAGAGAACTTCATTGTATCATTTCAAAGCCTTCTGTGTACACACATGTACAGTGATCAATTTATGCACCTCCATCATAGGCTGCACTGGAGTTTGTTACCAATGAAAGCCCATCACTATAGGAAAAAGTCTTTGTTGAGACCAAAATGGATAGGCACATAGATAAATAATATCTCCCTTTGCTGTTCATGCTTACACCCTTGTAATTCCCCATTTACCTGGGATGTGCTTTGCCCAGCCAATGATCACGACCAATTCCCTGTCTGCCAGGTCACAGAGGGTTGTCAGGGCTTTGATGTCACTCTCCGGCATGGTTGGATCAGGCATGGCATAAATCTTCTCTGGCTCAGCCACCAGCAAGTGGGAGACGATCTTAGTCACTGCACATTTCAAAGGAGAAGTTGTTGTATCTCTTGTGACATAAGGTGAACCCTCCTGGGATAAGACATGACTATAGAGCCCCTAGGACCTCAATAATGGTTCTGGTCACAACAGAAAACCACACTGCAGCTACGCAAGCTGTAGTGGTCTGCCTATGAAAAACCAGCTCTGCACAGGGATGACAAAAGCAGGAAGCTGCTGTAATGTTGTCATTGTCTCAGGCAGGTCCACTGAGGGGAGAAGGAGGTACAAACAAAAAGTCAGTAGGCCATGGAGAAGTTTAAAGAGCTATGGGTAGTATTGAAGAGAGTAATCAGCATGGGACTGGTTTTGTTAACGTGGCATGGGTAAAGGAAAAGATCAGAATATCACTAAATGGATTTACATAATCTCCTAGGAAAGGTCTGGTATTTAACCTTAGGTGCAATGAATACAGTACCTGAGCTGTACCTAGGCCTCTCTAGTTACCTCTACAATACAGTCGTAAGAAAAAATTCCCGTACTGTTGACTGATACAGGAATTGGAAGTGACAATTGCTACACTGTACTTTTGGGAGACCAGTGAGAAGAAATATATTGGCAGCTCAGAGGACCACAATTCAAGACCAATACATACATGGCTTTTTAGCTGGGGGAGGGATCTGTAAGCTCAGGTAAGTGCTGCTCTCAGAATCCAGTCTCCTTTTGTATTTCTGACGGCCTCCACGGACTCGATCCAGACGAACACCTGCAGGTAAAACCAAAAAGTCCTCATGATTCCTTAGTGCCTTACAGAACCTTGGCATGCAAATACTAGAATTTGCTAAGTAAGATGTTCCCCACACTCCAGGGAGCTTCCCTCTCTCTTGAGGGAAGATCTCAGAGATCTCACTTGAGATCTCAGCTGAACCCATAAATCTCAATACCAGCTAGACTGCCTACAGCTCTAAGCATGCTGCTCTGAGCTTTACTTTTATTCAAAACATTAATGAACACAGAAATTAACCCATTCAAACTCTTGAATCACTATAAATCTGACAGGAAAATGAAAAGCTTCAGAACTCAATGCCCTCTACATGATCCTGCTTTTAAAAAGAAAGACTTTAAATGTCAATCAAGCCAGCAGTTATAAAAATAAGCTTTTAGATTGTTCTTAAAAATGAGAAGTTAAACGTTCTGTGACCTCTCACTTTATATTTGAAAAAAGTGACCTACAGCAAACAGATAATGAACTATGAATTCAACAAAGATGTTTCAGCCTTGATCAAGTAAGGCAACTGTAATAAAAGTAGAATCCAAATAAATAGAAACAACCTTGACTACAATAAAGCAATGATAAAGACGAAGTAGGGAGACACTGAAGAATTTGTTGCAGCTCCTTCAAAGTACAGTGAAAAAACTCCCAGTGACTGGGAAGTACCAGTGATTGTCACCAGGTAAAAAAACCATAGCATCATCAATAGACCAGGAACAACAAGTTGTCACATTAGTACAAAATACAATGCTAAAAAGAAACTGTGAAAAAAACCCTACAGATATTTATGCAGTTGTCTGTTTTTTTCTGAGCAGCCATATGGACTCTGATATTCAGTCTGTGAAATTTGGGTAACTCAGTCTTGCTGGGAGAAACAGCTTTGGAAAAAAAATCTTTCAAGGTAAATGTAGGAGCATTTTATTAGAATAAAATTTTGAATTTACTCTATACAAGTACTTCCTTAGAAACACACAGGAGTTTACCTAGTCTGATCATGAGAACCAATTATGTGATACACTTACTAATCACATTAAGTCATTAATATTTTGCAATCATACCCCTACATAAACACAAACAACTAAAAGCAAACACTCCACATCAGTTTTGAAGTGACACTTTTTGAACAACCAATACACCTGAAAAAATCTGCAGTCAGCTGGCAAATATTCTACCCTAGAAGGAGGCATGTCTGTCACACTGCCTTTCAATGCCATGTTTGCTTACTCTGTCAGGGAAAAGATAAAGCTTTTACTGTGATGCCCACACCAGCCACACCTGCACCACCTGAAACCGCTACTTGCAACAACGTCTAGGTCCCGATACGCTTCCTGGCTAAAGCACCAAAACAATTTGACTACCAATTGCCCCCTAAGCAACAAGAATACCAGGCCAACACACTCAGTCTGGAGCAGGATCTCACACTGAGCAGGAGAAGCAGGAATGAGCAGGTGTGGAGCTCTGCACAGCAAGGGAGCTGCTGCTGTGGGTGGCTGCTATGGGAGGACAGCAGGTGTTGGAGAAGATGGAGAGAAAGGTATGAAGCTGATGTAGGTGAACTCAGGTCACACTGAGTAATTTCTTTCCCCTGTCCCATTTTCTATTTCTTACTCCGTATAGAGAATTTACGAACATCCCCAAGTACCACCTTTCTCTTCCATTACATGGTATTGTTTCTGAAAATGATGCCTATTGCTTCTTTTACTTCCATTTCCTGTGGCAGATAGCCTGTGGGCAAGACTCCTTCCTGGGAGCCCAAACACACTTCAGAGAGCAATTTCAAAAAGGACAGCCAGGGAATCCCAAACCTGAGGTTATCTAGGGAGATCCCTAAGGAACAGCAGTAATAAAATCCTGAACGAAGCAGGAAATTTTCACTTCCATCCATGATTTCTTTCCCTCTATAAACGTTCCCTGGTTTCTTAAGAAATAAGACTCTATTCCATGCTTTTCTGAATGAATGACAGCTACCTATATGCCCAGAGACAAGGGAGGGACACAAATTTCTGCAACTGCCAGTAAACCAAACAACCAGGTATGAAAAAGAAAAGAATCAGGAATATACTGTTGGAAGATTATAGAGGAACAGGCTGCCAAGATTCAGGACTGAATCACATCTTGCCAGGACCCTCCCAGATAAGGATCATAGCTGGGTGCATTCCCTCACACCAGTGGTCAGGGGGAGGGAAAGAGGGAGATGCCATTCTCAGCTGACAGAAACCAACACACAGCTCTCCAGGATGCTTCTGCTGTGCAGTTTGCTAAGCAGCGGGAGGGGGAACGAGGAGGAGCAGGGAGGAAATGGGGGAAGGAGCCTGTTTCCTCCTCCCAAGGAGAATGCCATCCTCCAGTGCTTGGCAGAGGGATGGCTGCACAGGTTGCAGCAGTATTAGGGACCCTCAATCAGATTATAAGGACACAAGGGACTTAAGTGCATTAAAAAAAGATAAGAAAGATGCAGAGAGATTTACCCTCCATCCCTCCTTCCCCCACTGAGCAGATAGAGGTCTGTTTGCCCAAGGACTTCAGCTTGTTAATTTTGAACAACTGTTTGTCCTCCTCTTGTTCCCCTTCCCTTGTGACACTCCTTGAGGCAAACATTTTCAATCAGCACTTGCAGAGCCACAATTCTAGACTGTCATCATTGCTCCAGCTGCAGAGCTGGTGAACAGGCTGAGCCCCACACAGCACAAGCCAGGTCCAGCTGCTGAGTGAAGTGACTACAGGTTCTGTAGTCTACAGTGACAGGTACTACAGTAAACAAAAGCATTTCAACCCTCCAAGTCCCTGACTGTGACACTCCAGACATAAGCATCATGGTAAAATCCTTTATCTAAAGATCTGACAGCCTGATGGGTCATATCTAGATGGAAGGAAAGGGCATGGCCAAAAATCAGTACCTGTGGTATCTAGGTACTCAGGTTAATGCCTGCTGCTCTGCTTGATTTCCTCTGTGGCTGATTTTAACACAGGCAGGCTGGTTACAGTGCAGCTCTGAGAGGGACACTAAAGGACAGACATTAAAATGGAGTGGGGAGGTGTGGTGGGTGAGCTCAGAGAAGCAGCATGAAGGAAAACACTAAGCAGAGAAGAAATGGAGGGGAATGTAAGTTGGGATATGAATGGAAGTGAGAGAATGTAAGGAAAAGGAAGATGAAAGAGAGGGCTGGAGCAAAGCTGAGGGGCATGTCCACTGAAATCACAAGGGCAGGTTAAACACCACATGTGCAGCCACCTGAGCCTTAACTGCAAGGTGCAGCAGCCACGCATGAAATGCAGCTGTCCATACTGAAGACTTACACAGGATTTGGTACTGCAGCCTCACAACAAGACAGCAGCAAAATAAAGCTCCTGCACAAACCCTATGCTCACATCAATCACAACTGGCCAGTTCAAAGGAGAGAAGTCACATCCTACAAAAATGTCACTGTCACAGGCACTCCTGGACCCCCCTCTGTGTCAGCAAGGAGTTGAGATCAACAGTATAGGACAAAGTTTGGAAAGCACCACCCTTTGATAACTTACCTTGATGGCAGTTCCTTCAAATTAAGGCTATCTTAAAAATATGCCCTATCCTCCCATTCCCCTGTACAGCCATAAACTGCTGCTGTTCATTCAATTTTGTTACCTTTTGAGAGATGCTGCATAAAAGTCCTCCTCATCTGACCTAGCTATGGAGCTGACCCTGGTGTATGCTCCAGGAGTTGAGTCCCAGCTGCCCCACAGCTTGTTCTCTGCTCCCCTGCCTGCCCAAGCCCCTCTGACCTTGCAGGGAGGAGGGCAGGGCAGGACTTGTGCAGGACTTCTCAGCTCAGCATCCTGCCGGGGCAGGGATGTCAGTTTTCTAAGTGTCCTGTGGGTGCCACTCGTGTTCCAAGCACTCTGGCAGGGAGGTCTGTGCCAGCACCAAGCCTCTGCAGTGGGAGAGCTGATCTGCTGATCGTTCAGCTCCCTGAACTTCTCTGACATGCCCCTTGGAGAGACGTCTGCCCGACAACTTTGGGATCAGATGTCCCCTTACCGACTTGATAACATCAGGCCTTGGGGTTTTTTTCTTAATGGAAGTAAAATAATTCCATCTTTTTTTAAAAGCTGGACTCAGGCCGAGACTGTCGGAAGTAAAAATAGCCGAGTAGGCAGAGGCGACAGCACACAGAGTCAGGTTTAGTTTCTCTTTTATTTTCTGGGGACTAAAAATACCCTTAAAAGCTCTGTGAAGCTAAGCCCTGGCCAGTGGGAAAAGCAGTCAAGGCCCAATATCAGCTGTCGTGTCAAATTACCAGCCTCACCTCACTTTCCATCGAGTCCTATCACATGGCCATGGATTGATAGGAACAGAAAGATCTATCTTGCCAAAAGAGCTAACAGAGGAGCCAAGCTACAGGGTTTGCATAGTACAATATGTGTCTAGACCAAGAAGGACACAACCAAAGGGAACACAGGGCAAATACTGGCCAGGAAGCAAAAGGGCACACTCAGATTTTGCTGAGCTTCCCTGATACACTAGCCAGGTTCTGTGTCCACTGCCCACCTAATCCCTGAGTTGCAGTTTCCACACTGCTGTCCCAGGGTCTGAGGTGGGGTGGTGCTCTGTAGCTAGCGGAGCACCTGTCTCCAGGAACTGCAGTAAATTTGTTAGTACTGGCCAAGGAAGCCATCCTCCAGTGCCTTATAAGCCATCCTTGTGTCCTTATAAGCCAGTATCGACTAAAAGCAGAGAAGAAAGGAAGGGAGAAGGGTTGTATCCAAAGTGTCTCCTACAAAATTTCCCTCTTCCTTTCTGCTCAGAACTTCAGGAGAGACAATAGCAAGGGGTAATGGGATGAGTGAGCCAGGAGGAAGCCTATCAAGGAAACAGAAACCAGAGATGAGGACCTAGTGACTAGCCTGGTGCAGGTGACCAAACCTGGAAATTACACTTGGAAAGAGAGGGGGAAGAACTATCTTGGGGATGAGGGGAAGTGGAGATGAAAATCCATCTCCTGTTTCAAGAGCCT